AGTCACAGTGGGGGCTAAGTTTCTAATCCCTGAAACTTGGAGGACACAATTCAAATGTCAATGAGTTTTGGAGGACATAATTCCATCCACTACAATATGCAATGGGGAAAGGACAGCCTCTTCAATAAATGGTGCTGGGAAAACCAGATATCCATCCACATGTAAAAGACAGAAATTAGACCATTATCTCTAACCATACACAAAAATCAACTTAAAATAGATTAAAGACCTAAACTGAAGACCACAAGCTATGAAACTACTAGGAGAAAAAAACGGGAAACACTACATGAAATGGGAGTGGGCAGTGCTTTTCTAGACAAGACCACAAAGGCACAGGAAACTAAAGCAAAAATAGGCAAATGGGACTATATCAAACTAAAAATCTTCTGCACAGCAAGGGACAGAATCAACAACGTGAAGAGACAACTACAGAACAGGAGAAAGTGTTTGCAAATTACACATCAGACAGGTGGCTAATATCCAGAATATATAGGGAACTCAACAGCAAAAAACCAAATAACCCAATTAAAAAATGGGCAAAGTACCTCAACAGATATTTCTCAAAAGACAACACACAAATGGCCAAAAGGCACATGAAAAAATGCTCAACATCATTAATCATTAGGGAAATGTAAATTAAAACCACAGTGAGATATCATCTCCAGTGAGAATGGCTGTTATAAAAAAAAAATAAATAACAAGTGCTGGTGAAGATTCGGAGAAAAGGAAACTCTCCTACGTTGTTGGTTGGGAATGTAAATTGGTACGGCCATTGTGGAAAACAGTATGGAGGTTCTTAAGAGAAGTAAAAATTGAACTACTCTATGACCCAGCAATCCCACTACTGAGTATATATACCCAAAGGAAATGAAATCAATATATCGAAGAGACACCTGTACTGTCATGTTCATTGCAACACTATACACAATAGCCAAGAGATGGAATCAACTTAATGCCCATCAATGGATGAATGGATAAAAAATCCTGTGGTATATATACACAATGGGATACTGTTTAACTATTTAAAGAAAAAGAAAGAAATCCTGTCATTTTCAGCAACATGGATTGAACTGGACCATCATGTTAAGTGAAGCCAGACACAGAAAGATGAATACTGCATGATCTCACATATATGTGGAATCTTTAAAAAAAAACAAAAATCTCATAGAAGTAGAGGGTAGACTAATGGTTACCAGAGGCCAGGGAGTGGGTGGGGGGAGGGGGTCTGGAAGGAGAAGAGTGGACTAATGAGTACAAAGCTATGCTGTCTACCTAAGTGAATCAATGTACAGTACATGCATGTATTGAAACAACATACTGTACCCCACAAATATGTACAATTAAATTTTAATTTTAAAAAGTTTTTTAAAAAATGAATAAATAAATAGGTATCCATGAGATTTGAATTTGAATTCTGGACACCAAATACAATAGATTGGTGTCCCATAATTTGTAGGGCCCATGTCAGCTTTTGAAACCCCAGCTGGTTTTGTCTTGGGTAAAACTGTGAAGTAGGCATGGTATATATTAGGTATCACTCCCTGTTTCCCCACCCTTGGTTTAGGGTTATTAACTAATATTGATTTGTTAACTGCTAAGTAACTTAGGTTAGCTATCTTTTTTTTTTTTTTTGGCAGCTGGCTGGTACAGGGATTGAACCCTGGACCTTGGTGTTATCAGATCAGCACCACACCTTAACCAAGGGAACCAGCCAGCCCTTTTTGAGTTAAAGCCCTGTTGACTCCTGTATCCTCTCACATGTCTGTCCCTTTCAGGAGGTACATCCATCCTTTTAGTATCCTCTAGTCCACCTGTTCTTTAACTTCCAAACCAAGTAAGACAAACGTAAGCCATCTATTCCACGGTGTTGCTTACCCCTGGATTAGAACATCTTAACATAAGCTCATCTACTAGAAGTTCATAGTCAAGTGGAGCTAGATTGTTCTCAGCCCACCATACAAAGGACTTTGTTTCAGCATCCAACTTTGCTTGTTGGCAGGTCTGCCATGGGAACCTCTATTCCTGAATTCTAGGAACTGCACCAAGGTGTGCTCCATGATGGCTGTCTAAGACTCTGTAAAACCAAGTGCTTATTCTCCCACGTTGTTTTGTCTATGCTAAGAAACCATAATTGTTGGTGTTTTATTTCTCAAATATCAAAGAATGTATTTCAGATCCCAGTGTTATCCCATTGTATTAAGAATTTTTAATATAGCCAAAGGAAATGAAATCAATACGTTGAAGAGATATCTGCAGTCTTATTGTTCATTGCAGCATTATTCACGATAGCCAAGGTATGGAATCAAATTAAATGTCCATCAGTGGATGAATGGATAAAGAAAATGTGGTACATATACACAATGGAATATAATATTCAGCCTTAAATAAAGAAGGAAATCCTGTCATTTGCAACAACATGGAGGACATTAAGTGAAATAAGCCAGGCACACAGAAAGACACAGTTCCTGACTTACAATGGTTTGATTTAGGATTTCTCGATTTTATGATGGCGTGAAAGTGATATGCATTCAATAGGAACTATACTTTGAATTTTGATCTTTTCCCAGGCTAGTGATACAATGCTCTTTGATGCTGGGCAGTAGCAGCAAGCTGTAGCTCCCAGTCAGCCATGCAATCATGAGGGTAAACAATTGATACTGTACAGTGTACTGTGTTCAATAAAGTACATGAGACACTCAATACTTTATTATAAAATAGGCCTTGTGTTATATGATTTTTGCCCAACTGTAGGCTAATGTATGTGTTCTGAACACTTTTAAGATACCTGAGGGTAAACTATGATATTCGGCAAGTTAGGTTTAATAAATGCATTTTTGGTTATTTTCAACTAATGATGGGTTTACCCACACATAACCTCATTTTAAGTTGAGGAGCTCACTTACATGTGGAATCTAAAAAAATTGAACTCATAGAAGTGGTGAGTAAAATGGTGGTTACCAGGAGCTGGAGCAGTGGGGGCCTGGGAAGATATGTTTGTCAAAAGACACAAAATTTCAGTTAAACAGGAGAAATAAGTTGAAGAGATCTATTATACAACATGGTGACTTCAGTTAATAACAATGTATTTTGAAAATGGCTGAGAGTAGTTTCATGTTCTCAGCACAAACAATGGTATGTGAGGTAATGCATACGTTGATGAACTCAAACGAACCATTCCGCGATGTATGCCTATTTCTTTTTTTTTTTTATTTTGTCAATATACAATGTGGTTGATTATTGTGACCCATCACCGAAACCTCCCATGTATTGAAACAGTACCCCACAAATATGTATAACTAAAATTAAAATTAATTAATTAAAAGTGAGCACAGTACAAAGTTTTCTCAAAGAACACATAATGTACTGACAAAATGCACACAGCATTATGCAACTAATTTAGACTGTAATTGCTGTTAATTCCCCCCTCCTATTACTGCAGAAGCAATGCTGAACTTCAGAACACATCTTCAGTCTGTGTCTATGCCACAGTTCTGTAAATTTCCAACCCTATAACATGGAGAGGGACTTTTCTTAAAGGCAGGTTTAATTACCTTAGAAGACCTCAAGGAACTGTCAGATGACAGACATTTGTTCCCCGTTTCACTCAAAACAGCACAGAGGGCTTAAAAAAGAGAGAAAGGTGAATATTATAGACAGTTGCTACCTGGCAAGATAGATAGATAATAAACTTGGCTCCACCTACAAAAATAGTAATACCTACATAGGTTGTGTTTGAAAAGTTAAGTATATGATACAAATTGGTTTTTTTAAATTAATTAATTATTTATTTATTTAAATTTTATTTTGTCGATATACAATGTGGTTGATTATTGTGGCCCATTACCAAAACCTCCCTCCCTCCTCCCTCTCCTCCCTCCTACCCAACAACGTCCTTTCCGTTTGCTTGTTGTAACGACTTCAAAGGATTGTAGTTGTTATATCTTCTTCCACCCGCCATTATGTTTTGTGTGTGAGTGAATTTATTTATGTATTTTTAGCTCCCACCAATAAGTGAGAACATGTGGTATTTCTTTTTCTCTGCCTGACTCGTTTCATATTCTCTCAAGGTCCATCCATGTTGTTGCAATTGGCAGTATTTCATTCGTTTTGATAGCTGAGTAATATGCCATTGTGTAGATAAACCACATTTTCCGTATCCACTCGTCCGATGATGGACATTTGGGCTGGTTCCAATGCTTAGCTATTGTGAAGAGTGCTGCAATGCACATTGGGGTACAGGTACACCTTCGACTTGATGATTTCCATTCCTTTGGGTATATTCCCAGNTGTGTGTGAGTGAATTTATTTATGTATTTTTAGCTCCCACCAATAAGTGAGAACATGTGGTATTTCTTTTTCTCTGCCTGACTCGTTTCATATTCTCTCAAGGTCCATCCATGTTGTTGCAATTGGCAGTATTTCATTCGTTTTGATAGCTGAGTAATATGCCATTGTGTAGATAAACCACATTTTCCGTATCCACTCGTCCGATGATGGACATTTGGGCTGGTTCCAATGCTTAGCTATTGTGAAGAGTGCTGCAATGCACATTGGGGTACAGGTACACCTTCGACTTGATGATTTCCATTCCTTTGGGTATATTCCCAGCAGTGGGATAGCTGGGTCATATGGTAGATCTATCTGCAACTGTTTGAGGAACCTCCATACCATTTTCCACAGAGGCTACACCATTTTGCAGTCCCACCAACAATGTATGAGAGTTCCTTTTTCTCCGCAACCTCGCCAGCATTTATCGTTCAGAGTCTTTTGGATTTTAGCCATCCTAACTGGGGTGAGATGGTTTCTCAGTGTAGTTTTGATTTGCATTTCCCGGATGCTGAGTGATGTTGAGCATTTTTTCATATGTTTGTTGTATGCCTACCTATTTCAAAACACCATGTTGTACACAATATATACAATGTTTGTCAGTTTAAAAAAAGAAAAAATTTTACTTATCTGACCAGCTTTATGCAATGATTTACTATTTCTTTTTCCACTAGGGAAAAGTTAACCATTGGATGCTGCCAGCTGGTTGAGATGGAATATACCATGCAGCAGTGCAATGCATCTGTCTACATGGAGGCCCAAAACAGGGGATGGTGTGAAGACGTGCTCAACTATAGGACCTAAGTGCTGATTTGTAAAACTTAAGAGGAATTGCATTTGTCTTCAATAATAACAGTAACTTTCAACCTGGTCACTTTTTTGAGTCAAACCCAAGAGAATTATAACAAATAGTTCATACATACAAGAAAGTGATTGCTTATTACTGACAATCTCAATGAAGCCCTAAAAAGCTTGATGCCAATCTATTGTGAGATAAAACTGTGGACTCAACTCTTCTGGAGTTGCCAATACCTCCCTACTTCTACTCCTCATACTGAGCCAGTATCTCTAAGAAAAGGAGAGTCATCTTTTCAGTCATCTTAGGGCAGTAGTCACTGTGGCATCTAAGGCCCATGGCACATCATTAGCAAGCATCTCTCTCAACCCCAAATATGGGTATGCAACTAGACACTGCAAAACACTAATAATAACCATGGTCACCACATTCTACAAATGAAATCTTACCCTGGGCTGTTTTTATAATCAAACTGTTATCCATGTAGACCTGTTGAAAATGTGCTTCCCTGCTCAACCTCCAAAGTAATGAAAGTAGAATTTTGACTTCAGCTCCTACTTCCTATAGAACTTCTTCTCTGGACTTGTCACTTTTCAGTGTATTTCTTCTTTTTTTAAAAGACCAGTAAGGGGATCTTAACCCTTGACTTGGTGTTGTCAGCATCACGCTCTCCCAAGTGAGCCAACCGGCCATCCCTATATAGGGATCTGAATCCACGGCCTTGGTGTTATCAGCACCGCACTCTCCCAAGTGAGCCACGGTCAGCCCTTTCAGTGCATTCCTAATGGGGAAGAGCAGGGCGATTCCTGTGCTGTTTCCGGAATTTAGGTGTGACTGTTTGCTCCTAGCTTAAACCAACTTGTTTAATTGATTTCTTAGTTATACAGTGAGGTGGAAATCCTTATTTACTTGAATGCATTATGCTTTTGTTAATTTTTACATTAAATCTAAGTTTTTTGTTTTTTTTAAAGCAATAACTAATTTACTTTTAGCAAGATTTCATTTTACTTCCAAATTGTGTTCCTGAAATGTGTACAAGGTATGTTTATAAAAGTGGCCCTTTTCAATAAAAGAGAACCTATTCAGGATGTTCACTAGTAGTTGGTAAAGGACTTGCTTTCGTTTTCATGTTTGCCAGATTAGGAAACTGCACCACCAACTGCTCAAGTGCCATCAGGAATATGAGCCTTTGGGCGAACAGAGAAGCTTCAAGAGAGTATCTCTTTGCTTCTTTCCTTTTTTTGCTTGAGGAGCCAAAAATACATATCCCTCGACCCCCACAAAAGAACTTTTATCAGATCTTTATCCCTCACCTTCTAGTTATTATTGCATTTTTCTTTTACCCTTTTTATCTTTTTAATATGAATTATGCATCTTTAGTCTATGTCTTTTACCTTGCACATTCTGTCATTTTCTCTTTTTTCTTTTTTTTTTTACTGACCGGTAACGGGATTGCAACCCTCGGTGTCGCGCCCATACCGGGGACCGGCAACGGGATCGCAACCCTCGGTGTTGCGCCCGCACCGCGCTCAGCCAGTGAGCGGGAACCAGTCTCCACATGGGATCCAAACCCTCGGCGGGAGCGCCACCACACTCCCAAGCAGCACACTCTCCAGTGCACCACTGGGCCGGCCCTGCTCTCTCTTCTTTTAAAGCCCTCAGAACCATGTCCCTGACTGCCATTTTTAGTCCTTTCACTACCACATGGTCCTACAATCCAATCACCTCTTCAAGCCTCCACTTTTCAATTACTGTAATAGGATTTCCCACACTCTTAACAGTCAAAGTGGGGGCTAAGTTTCTTTTTTTTTCTTTTTTTTAAAGATGTTTAATCTTTAAAATTTTTTGAGATGTGCAGATGTACTTTCTAGTCTTACTTTTTGATTTAGAAACATTGGTTTAAAAATTTTTTAGTCTTTCATTTCAAATTTCAGGGTTCCCCCCGCCTTTTTTTTTCTATTTTGCCGCCTTCTTTTCTGATCTTAAATGTTATTGGTTTTATGCTTGTTTTCCTAATCATCCAACATAGGAATTGAAGATATTCTTTTCTTCTCATTCTTTCTTCTCTAGCTGTCTCCCCCGAGTTTGAGTAACTCATTGTGCTCATGGGCTCCACCTTATAGAACACAGATTTGTTTCAATGGAAGAATTATCAAATCCTTAGAAGAGAAACTTCAGATTTTAAAATCACCATTCTTCAATATATATAGATAGTGTTTTTTGGGCTGAACCCATCATAAGCATGCCATGAACCAGAAGGGACTAATGGGTCACAAAAAATATTCATACCTGAGTCTGGCTAATTAAAGCAGGTATTTTGTAGTTTTTCTACCCTTTTAGGAAATCTAGTATGTTTTATGGACTATTAAAATTCCAAGTTTGGTATTACCAATATTATTTCTGAACTACTCTAAAACTCATACTGGTGTTAAACCACAATTAAAAAATTGCTGAGGCTATGCCACATTTTCTTCTTCCTGAAGAAAGACAAGCTTACCTTTTGATATGGATAAACAGTAACAACTGGTCAGAGCACTGTTCTTTTCCTTTGTGGAAACTTATGTTCATGAAGACTGGCTATAACAGCTTCTTACAAACATACTTTTTGCCACCAAACTACCTGTTTGGTATCAACAATAATGCAGGAAAACTTTAACCCCAAGTAGTCCCACATATTATTTGCATTAAGCCTGTGATTTATGAAATGAGAAGTGATCTCAAGGATTTTAGTGCTCAATCCTCAACTAAAACTTTATTTTCTTGTGAATAGAACATACAGAGACCAATATAAAAGACAGTCATCATATTAGGCAAATTCAAATCTGCCAACTTAGTGCTAGCCAAGAACCAAACTATCTATAGCTAAATAGTTAGGAACTACACAGTAACCAGACAAACTGACTTCCTTTCTTGGTGGTTCTTTGTGGAAGAGATGAGAGAAATGGGGTAGCCAAATACCCGTGGGAACATTTGGAGAAAATTTTCTAATTTTCTTCCTAACACAAGTTAGCCACAGAATAGTCACCTCATTCCCAGTTGGCTCATTAGGTTCCTGGGTGCTTTGCTTTCTGTGAGAGAAAAACCCTACATCATTCCTCATTTCAGATGTAAGATGTCAGGTGAATATTTCCCACAAATACCTTAAGTTCATCATTACTGAAAAAAAAGATTTCTCCCCAAAACTTTTAGTAATGAATGAGTACACAAACAACATTTGGATATTAATCCCATTGTGCAAGGATTTCCTGCAAAGTACCTTTAATGTGTTTGCATCAGCAGTAATCATTAGGATGTACTAATTTTGGCACCATAAGTTAGGTGTGTAGCACTAAACAGACACCAAATCATCCCAACCAATATTTATCCATATGAATAGAAAAACTGAACAAAAACATAGTTCTGATAAAGGCTGCATTCACAATCCCAGTACAGTTTAATTTTTTCCACACTTGAGGGCTACCATTTAGGACTGTTTTGTTAATGATAAATAAAAACAAGAATCATTTAGAAGATAAAATATTTCACTGTTCTTTACTGCTATATATTAAATGTCTTGCTATATAAAATATACCCTCAACAAGTCAAAATATTTAAAACCAGTGTTTCAGATATCAAAAAACACAGCTATGTTACTGTTCAGCAACTCCATTCAAATTAACATAAGTATTGCATCCTCAAAAAAAAAAAAAATTGCAGCTGAAGCAAATATTAGAAGTTTGTAATCTGTGCGTGTAAAAGAAACACACCGCTCTGCATACTTTAAGACTGCCAATCTGCTTCAATAACTTGAATCTGCCACATTTTCCTTCAACAGGTAAAGCACTCTACTGAGAATATAAAAAGTTATAAAAAGGCAATCATAAAAGGATTAACTATTGGTAGGCATGTCAGCTTTCTTTTAATAAAAACAAAAATAGTCACTGTTATCTATTTAAATAAGTATCTTTTGTTATAGAGTGTTCCAGTTATTGAAAAACGGCCCTTAAAAAACCCAACTGGCTACAGCTTTAAACCCTAGCCTCTTCCCCCTTAATACACATTTGAGGGAAAAATCATTCAGTGTGCAAACTGGCAAAACAAATGCGGAGGAGAGGGGACTTCTTGAAATGATGTGCCCAATCAATTCTTGGTTTATTCTTTTACAATATCAACTTCCAAAAAGTAAAATAACCAAAGAAGTCTGAAAAATACACAAAACAGAACTTCATCTTTGCATTCCTTTCTAAATAAACACAAAAAGTATATACAGCATGTTTAATAATATGCAATATGCAAAAGCGTTGTGTTGCTGTTAGCAACATCTATACCCACCCACCCTCCTTATTCACAAGTGTACCTCTACTAAACACAATTACATCACTAAGCCTGTTAGTTTGAGAGGGTCTTAAATTTGTTAAAACTGGAAAATCTTTGTATAGGGGCTCCACTCATTTGACTCGAGGTTATAGACTTCGACCGTATTCAGAAATTCATTGCCATCAAATCCTCCTACTGCATAAATGGTGTTCCCTACAGTTGCAATCCCAGCATTGCTCCTTGGTGAAGTCATATTTCCCATCATCTTCCATTCATTTCTAGTTGGATCATACATCTCCACACAACTGATGGCATGAGAACCATCAAAGCCACCACCTACAAACAGTTTTCCTATAAGAGAAATGAGACAGGGTAAATCTAGAGAGGCTAACGTATAATAAAGGAAAAAAACAAAAAAAACAAAAAAACCCTAGATCTGTCTTTTGCTAAAAAACCGGGTTAAGAAGAAATGCCTGTTCATTCTGTCAAAGATATTTATTAAATGCCTACTAATGTGTCAAGCACTCTCTAGAAGCTGGAGATACAAACAGAATGTGAGATAGTACTTCAAAAAGTTCATGGAAAGCCGTTTTCTTTTAATTCTATTTTTCCATGAACTTTCTGAAATAGCCTTGTAAAAATGATGAAAACCCATTCCCACATGGAACTTAGGCATCTTTAATGGGTGAGGGGAAGGGAAGGAGAAGGAGCACCATCTAAACAAAGTACAATTCTCACACGAATTCTATGCAGTAGTTACTACTAATTCTACCA